CCTCTTTCAAGGTGGTAGGGACCACTCCCTCTCTCAAAGAGGTGTTCGTGGCCTCCTGGACCCAGGTGCAAACCCCCCTGGCTGATCTTCCAATTAGCCAAGATGAGCAAGGGTCAAGCGGAGTGGTGGTAGAACGGACAGATCGAAGCACCCTGTCCATATCCTCAGGTCTCAACAATTGAAACTCATCCATTAATATTTGACCTAAGCAAGACACACTGGACACATCCTCTGATTTTGCAGTAATGGTGGAGTCCCACCCACTGCGAATCTGAACGATTTCTCCCTCAAAATGAATGGCAAACTCATCAAGGTGAGCTGATGAACAGTCCAGGACGTCCACCAGATTTCGCAGTTGAAGAAGATCCTGGACCACCTGAAACAGCTCTGCTGGATGACATTCTGAGGAAGCAATATGGCTGGAGAAATATTGCCATTTTGCCAGCCATATTACCACAAAATAGGCCTGATAATGAGCTGTAAGTTGTATTCGATCGGACCCCCAGCGGGATTTCCTCCACCTGTGCTGCAGCCTCCCCTCTTGCTTCATCGCCCACAGTTCAGATGTATACCAAGGAACTGTCTTAGTGTGCTTTGTTCTGTGATTAGTTACTGGAAATAAATGGTCTTTATTTGGACAGAGCCAAATTAATTTGATCTCTGAGGCATGTATCTCTAAAAACAGTCCAGTGTTATGGATGGAAAATAAGTGAACTGCAGCTAACACACTTTCTCCTTGTTACTGAATTTGACCATCAGTTTTCTTTTCCACTTTATTACTTTCCTTTAGGGATGGGGACAATATTATTTGGAGTTGCCAATTTTGAAAAAAAAATAGCTTGCCTAATAATCTGCATTTTATTACTATTTTCTCTTTATTCTAAATCCGAAGAAACAAAACAAAACAAAACAAGAACATTTGGCACCTCAAAGACTATTATATTTTAATGTGAGCTTTCGTGGACAAGTGCACTTCATCAGACATAGGGAAATTATAAAATATTGTTCAACATGAAAATGGTCAAAATCCTGTTGTGCAGCTCCGCCTGTGCAACCGGAACTGTGTATTTGGTAGGAGCAGATTTGATTATCAATTAAAGGCTTTTTTGCAATTTAAGGGTGCACACAGAAATTGCTAAAGGAGGCGCTTAATGAGTGGCTCTCTTACCACTCCTGTTGGTGGTCCTCCTGTTGTGCAGGCAGACCCTACCCAGCAGGGTTTAGGTTAATATGTGTAACATGCTCTTTTACTAGGGTGTTAAGGAGGGTAACTGGGGACAATAGAACATATGGTACCTCAATGCAGTTGGGCTGGTAATTGAAGATATTGGCGATATAAATGAACTCTTCCCCTCGAATCGTAGAATAAGGGAGCTTTGGCTCAACAAAGAATGGCTGGAAAGTGATCAACGAAGCTGTTTCTGACATGCCAAACCCATCGCTGTCTTGCACACAGAAAGCATTGACTTTCCATTCGGTGATGGTGTCTGGTACAATGTATGAAAGACTGGCCTTCCCACTAGAACTGAAACACAAGAAGGGGAAAGTGTAAACGTCCTGCAGGGCCGTTTGTTATTGGAGATGAAATTTGTTACTGTTATTAGCTGTATACCATATCAGAGGGGGTGCTAGGATGCTGGAATGCCTGTTCTCCAAAAGATGACAATTTAAGGCTCCATGAAGACCACACAAATGACTAGCAAGCGACACTTAAATACCCTGAATGGATTTGTCATTAAAAGTGCCTGTGGGGGCCACTGCCGCCATTGACCTTCAGGTTTTTTCTATTGATAGCTAAATACCTTTAACAATAGTTTCCCACAATCTTGGTACCTGATTTTTCTTAGGAACGAAACTAGAAACTGAAATAATAGAATAATTACTTGAGAAATCAAGTGACATATAAAGGGGGCCATAATAATACTCCTAGCAGAAAAGTGCTTTTGTTGCTGTTGTCCCTTTGATTATCTTTCTGGATACCGACAGCATATTAGTATCCTCAAATGGAAGGCTGAAAAGGATCATCAAGCAGAATAGCAGAGACCAACCTGACGTGAACTGTATTCCAAAGCCAGGTTTCTGGAAAAGAGGTTCTCACTGTCTCAATCAGGCGGTCTCCAGAAGCACCAAATGCACCAGTTTTCTCTATGGGAAAAGACAGCAAAGTCATAATACTGAGGGAGATTCAAAATTAGGCACTCTTCCAGGAAGTCAAATGGAAAAGTTTTGTATTTTTTTTCAGGGACACTGAATTTTATATCCTTAATGCATCGAGCTACATCAAGAAGGATAGACGAATTCTTCTGTATAGAAGCCACAGAGAACTTATTTCTTTTCCCAAATGAGATTTTACTGGGAGGTACAGATGCCACTGCTCAAGAATTCAGCTACCTCAAGTGTAAGATATGGCTAATTTTAATCTTCAGCCAGGTCTTTCTTCTTCCTCCTTGTCAAACCAGAAAAGATTCTGAGATTGCTGTGTCAGAGTCCCTGGCAGGATTTTGGCACATCAGCTGCTCGGCTACTGGAGATAATTTAACCATTCGAGTACTGCCTCTTTAATTCACTTTCAAAATGAATCAGACTCTAGATCACATTAATCATTCTAAGTAGAGATGGACCCGAACCAGGAAAATGTCAGTTCATGGTAACTCTTGGCTGCTCTCTATTCATGAACCATAAATTTTCATTCAGTTTCTGATGAAATGAAATATTTTGTGGTTTGTGTGAATTGGGATTCTGGGAATGGTAGAACGCCCCCCTGCGTGAGTTTGAGATGCTGAAATCACAACAAGGTTTCAGCTGATTCTGCATCCCCATCTCTTCCAAGTTTAGTGAAAATTGAATTTGGGATTTCTGAGTTCTAGATCCCCCCAAAGCAGTCCCCCAACAAGAAGAGTGCTCTTTAGCAGCTGGCATGAGGAAAATTAAATGATTAATGCAAGGGATCTAGAAAAATAAGCACCACTTAAACTTAGTATTCTAGGCAAGGTGGATACATTAAGATGAATATATTGCCACAATTAATCTAGGAGCTTTGTGGTATTTCATTATATATATTGTCCAAGTATAATCTTAAAAGATAAGGGAATATTTCAGAAGTTCATTTGGAATAACTTTCCACCTTGCCGCTCACTTAAGAAGATGCAGTTACCAGTATTAAAAGCAAAGCAAAGCGTGCTGCTTATATACCGCCCCATGGCACTTAAAGCACTCTCTAGGCAGTTTACAAGTTAATTATGCAGGCTATACATTTTATCGACCATGGAAGGATGGAAGGATGAGTGAACCTTGATCCAGCTGCCTGGGATTGAACCCCAAGTTGTCAGCACAGTTTTGGCTGCAGTACAAGAGTTCAATCACTGTGTCATGAGGCTTATGTTAGAAGGTGGTTTAAATTTCCCATTTATAGTTTGTACTACAAGGCATATCTTTTAGCACATGTAAACTCTTGGCAAGTCTCCGTTTTCACAAATGGGGAGAGAGGGACAATGAAATTTGACTTTTTGAGTCCTTATGGTGGTTTAAGAGACATCTATTCCAAGCCTGGAGGGATAAACCTCCACCACCTGCTACACAATGTTAGCACTAACTTCGGTTGAAGAAGTATCACATAGGTGCCAATTTCCTGAGGACATTTACCTGGACATCTGGAAGGCCTACCCTGATTTATAGGTACAATATGAGAGGCACGTAGTAGAGATGGGCACAAACCAGTTTGTCCAGGTTCGTATAGGTGGCAGCACAGGTGATGCTGCTCCCCCCACCTCCTCATCTGATCAGCCACTCAGCAGATCTAGTTTGCTTTCTTTTTCCACCTCCTCAGCTCATCTCCCAGTCACGAACAAGAGCACAGACTCCTCTGTCCAGCCGCTTGGTCTGAGTGGGAGATCAGTCAAGAGGGCAGGACAGAGAAGCCCAAGCTGTCGGAAGGACCAGTTCATGTCCATTTCTGGTACACCGTGATGGTTATAACCATATAACAATTTTATAACCATAAATGGGTACTAACATTATTGTATTTGCCTTTTTTGTTCTGTTTCTGTTTTGTTTTGGGTATTTTTTGCTCAATTCATCTTTTTTTTTTTTTGTAAATCTGCAAAAGTAAAAACTAAAACAGCTACTCTTTTATACAAATTGATGTCATCTAGATATTTTGGACTACAACTATCAGCAGCAGATGGCATAATCCTTCTTACCTTGATACCTACCAAGATAAGGAGGAGGAGGAGGAGGAGGCGCATCGTCTGAGGAGATTTTCTTGCATTCGTAGTCACTTCTGCACACAACAGGCTTCCTCAGTGTACACTTTGTAAAAGCCTTAAGGCCCATGCTCTACAGTGGATAAATAAATGCTATTTTATTGATGTCTTCATTAGCTAAAAGAAATATAACATACATTCTAAATCTTTCTCATGGATGCTACTTGAACCCACAAGCTTTTAGCTTTGTGAGGAAGTCAATAAAGCAGTTAAGGAGGGAGAACACATAATTCCGCTTTCCGAATTACACAAAAATAACCTGTTCTTCAGAAGTAGGAAAACTTTCAGGGTTCCCCGTTCATTTGTCATGCTGAATGATTGTTAGAAAATTGTTATTTGGATTAAGAACTATACATATGGGCTGAAAAAAAACACACACACATCCAAGATAAATGTTAAACTGCATTGCTACAGTTGTTTGCTTGCTTACAGCTGTAAGCAAGGGTACATGTGATATGTAAAAAGAAGAAGTGCCACAAGGATGTGGATCACCAAATCTTACATCCCATTAGCTGAAAATATCCCTCATACGGAGCATCAGGAGTACAAGTGAATTAGACATAACAGAATTGTATTCTGATGCTTGGTGTAACAACAAATTCTGAATAATGGTAACTAACTCATAACTGCAGAAAACTCCACTTATGACAACAATATTGACAGTGTACAGTCTTTATAAATATTTCACAACGACAATTTGTTTAAAAAAAATGGCTGCAGAAAAGGATGGTAGCTGGGCCAGAAATATTTGAAAAATGTCCAGTTCAAAGGAAGTCCGTATTTTCTTCCAAATTCTCCTCTTTTTTCACTGCCACTGGCTAAACTCTCTTTGATTTTATTGCCTCCTGTGCCTGCTCTCCTGTGCTCAACTATATCTGAGGTTGTTGATATTTCTTCCAGCAATCCTAATTCTGGCTTGGGATTCCTCCAGTCCAGCCTTTCGCCTGATATATTCTGCATATAAGTTAAATAAGCAGGGGGAAAATATACAGCCTTGTCGTACTCCTTTCCCAATTTTGAACAAATCAGTTGTTCCATATCCATTTCTAACTGTTGCTTCCTGTCCCACAGACAGATGTGATCAGGCACTCCTATTTCTTTAAGGACTTGCCATCCAGCTTACCAAGATTCATAGAGCTTACATTTCAGGTTCCTATGCAGTATTTTTCTTTGCAGTGTTGGACTTTCACTTCCAGGCGCGTCGGCACCTGAGTGTGCTTTCGGCTTTGGCCCAATCACTTCATCAGCTCTGGAGCTACTTGTCCTATGCTCTTCCTCAGTAGCATGTTGGACGCCTTCCGACCTGAGGGGCTCATCTTCCAGCGTGATATCTTTTAGTCTTTTGTTTCTGTCCATGGAGTTTTCTTGGATATCTTTCTAGGATATTGGAGTGGCTTGCCAGTTCCTGCTCCAAGTGGATCGCGTTTAGTCAAAACTCTCCACTATGACCTGTCCGTCTTGGGTGTCCCTGCACGGCATAGCCCATAGCTTCTCTGAATTACTCAAGCCCCTTTGCCACGACAAGGCAGCAATTCGTGAAGGGGAAAATTAAACTTACTTAGCTAAAAACTTAGCTAGAGACTCAGTTATGGTTCTTAAAAGTCTCCCTGAAAAGTTGGATCTTCAAGTGTTGGTGAATGGATACAAGGGAGAAGGCTAATTGAAGCTCCAGAGGGAGAATATTCCACAAACTGGAGGCAGCCACAGAATAGGCCCTGCTTTAATAACAGTATCATTCTATGGTAGTGTTATTGCAGAATTAAGATAGAATGAATTAGTGTCTACTCTCCTTTGACTCTTTTGACAGAAGTGATTCATTGTCCAGTGACATGTACAGGAAACAAACATTGTTACACAACAGGTTTTCAGTATGATTTTCTTTTTTTTTAGTATTAAACTACATTTTGGTTACAAAATAAGACAGATATTAAAAGGAGCACTAATGCCAGATATATCATAAATGATGTTACTCGCAGCAGAACATTGAGATGGACAAGGCTTTCAAAAACCTGGGTTCGAGTCTACCCTCAGCTATGAAACTCATTTAGTGAACAATTGCAGTCTCTACTTCAGAGTTATTGCCAGAGTAAATCGGTAAGAAGGGCTGCCACATGCTATCTTTAGCTCATGGGAGCAGAGGTGGGATATAAGTGTAATAAGAATATATATACAGTATATACTTTTAAAAATCTATAGAAATAAACGTACCTCCAAAATATCAAAAACATTGCCATCATCGGTAACATTCACAGGCACATGGTACAGGCCATTGAAAAAAGTATCTCGTATCTCAATGCATGGCTCTTTAGGGTCATCTTCTAGGTTTGTCCCCATATAGTTATAACCCCAGAGATCTAAATAAGGCATCTGGTTGTACACCTGATGAAAAGAGGAAATGCACATATTTGAGAACAATGGAAGGGAGGAAACGTCAAAATAGGCGTTACAGTGGCAGTGATTTACTACAAGTAAGCTTCAAGGCAGATCTAACTACAGTATATGAATAAAGAGTTTAAATGCTTAAAATTTGAATCACCAATAATTTGGTACTGGGCCAAAATTTCTTACAAAAAGGATTTTGTTATCATTTTCCAAATAACATTTTTGCTTGTCTTCCCCCAATTATTGGGAAATTTCCCAACTATCATTTGCCCCCTCCCACACAGAGACCACTACACAGACTATGAATAAGATGAAGCACTTCAGGTGTATCTGTGAACTGAGCATTAATACTGTTTGTTACTGCTTTGATACTGTTGAAGAAAGCAACGATTTTCCAGTGTGACCTTGATCTACCAGCATAAACCTAAGGAGAGTCCCATTCAGCAGGCCCTATGAGAGGTGAAAGGGGAGCAGGGCCATTTGGTGCTAGCCTCAAACCCTGGGGCTTATGTTTTAGCTGCAGTTGACTGGCAGATTTGGGCATGAGAGCAGTGTGAATAGTGGTGGGTAGTTCTTTAGGGCAAAAGAGGCACTGCCTCACCAGGCTCAGGTGACTTCCACTCAGCCTACACATGCCTGCCTCCTTATTTCTAATGATTTGCATTCATCTCCCTTCTCTAGAACATAAGAGGAGCCCTGCTGGATCAGGCCAAGGGCCCATCTAGTCCAGCTCCCTGTATCTCACGGTGGCCCCACCAGAGGCCTCGGGGAGCACACAAGATGACTATATCCCTGTCTCCTGATACCCCTCCCCTGCATCTAGCATTTTGAGGTAGCTTCCTTTTAAGCCTAGAGATTATACACTCCCATCATGGCTTGTAACCTGTGGTGGACTTTTCCTCCAGGAATCTGTCCAGCCCTCTTTTCAAGGGATCTAGGCCAGATGCCATCGCCACATACTGTAGCAAGGAGTTCCACAGACTAACAACATGCTGGGTAAAGAAATATTTCTCAATCTCCCAATGCTCAATTTGAGTGGATGTCCCCTGGTTCTGGTATTGAGTGAGAGGGAAAAGAGCTTCCCTCTTATACACTTTATCCATCCCTTGCATAGTTTTATATGTCTCAATTATGTCCCCCCTCAGGCGCCTTTTCTCTAGACTAAACAGCCCCAAACGCTGTAGCTTTTCCTCATAAGGGAGGTGCTCCAGCCCACTCCTCATTTTAGTTGCTCTCTTCTGCCCCTTTTCCAGTTCCACTACTTCTATTATTATACATACTTCCTGAATTGTCACTTTAAATTCACTATCTGATGCCATGTTAAGAGGCTCATCTCCTGGAATCTGAAGGTGGCATGGTGAAGTATTAGGAGCCTCAAAATCTGAAAGCTGCCAGGCCTGACTGAGGCTCTCATCTTCTATTAATATACATACTTCCTGATTTGTCACTTGTCACTGATGCCATGTTAAGAGGCCCATCTCTTGGAATCTGAAGGTGGCATGGTGAAGAATTAGGAGCCTCAAAATCTAAAAGCTGCCAGGCCTGACTGAGGCTCTCATTCAAAATTTTCTGAACAATTTCTTCATTTCCACTCTGAGAATTTAACAAAATGATCATACTAAACAACCTTCTTGCAAATGGGGTTGGGAATGCCAGAAGGCCATTATATGAATGTTCTCTGAGTGGCTTCTCAAAAACTTCAGAACAGTAAAACAGTAGCATAAGAATGGTTCTGTCTAGTTCTGCAAGAAATAAAATATGCTGGTCCTGCTGGTTTAATAGCCCATCGTAATACATTGAGAAATCCAGACTGAAAAATCTACTTGGCTTGAATTGTGGTGCTGGAGGAGGCGCTTGATAAGAATGGTTCTGTCTAGTTCTGCAAGAAATAAAATATGCTGGTCCTGCTGGTTTAATAGCCCATCGTAATACATTGAGAAATCCAGACTGAAAAATCTACTCAGTTTAAATGGCCTGGGCGAGAAAGGATCTTTATAACAGCAGTAGGTGATCTTTCAGATAACAGATATCACAGAGAGCCCATGATTAGCGCTGAAAGCATGTTAGCGTTGGAGGGGTTCTGAGTGTTTTCTTGCTTGAGAGCAAGAAACATTTTTAGGAATCTGTGCTTAAATCCTGAAGATCAATTTTAAAAAAGCAATCTTCCCATTATATGATGTAGGAAAACCTCCTGCTAGGTGTGTGTTTAGTCGTTTAGTTGTGTCCAAGTCCATGGGGTCACGAAGAGTCAGACACGACTGAATGACTAAACGACGACGATAAATGGCCTGGGCGAGAAAGGATCTTTTCTACAGCAGAAGGTGAACTTTCAGATAACTTGAGGTAGAAACAGATGTCACAGAGAGCCCATGATTAGCGCTGAAAGCATGTTAGCATTGGAGGGGTCCTGTGTGAGGTAGTTTTCTTGCTTGTGAGATCACATTTTTAGGAATCTGTGCTTAAATCCTGAAGATCAATTTTAAAAAAGCAGTCTTCCCATTACATGATGTAGGAAAACCTCCTGCTAGGTACTCAGACACTTTTAGTAGTTAAGGAATTCCCTCTTTTAACCACAGTCTGCCTACAATGTTTGTTTCTGCTCTTTGTCCCAAGCTGGTCAATGCTCTTAAAGGGTAAAATCAGCACCTGACATTTGGTCCAGACATGGATTGTGCACAAAGCACAGGCATAACCTAGTCTCATTGCCCAATCCTAGTTATTTTTGTGAACCTATTAGGGACCAATGGAAACCTCCAAATCATTTTGAAAAGCTGCCTCATGCACATGGGAACAAGCATGGATAGCTGAGGGCAAACCACCTCCATACAGGTGTGGTTGGAATTTATAGCAACCACTTTTTAAAATGAATTTGTGAAGAAACTGAGAAATTGGCGAAACATGGAACATCTGGAACATTAAGGTTGCTCTGTAAGTGCCTGGGAAAACGTGGTTAAGAATGTGGAGGTCAGTGTGTGTCCAGTGACAGGAAAAGAGTAACACCTTGAACTTTTGTGAGAAAGGTCTTCAAGGTCAAGTCTATTTCTTCCCCGGTATTGCACTAATTGGGAGATGATTTCAGCTCTGTGAAAGAGGGGACCAGAAATTGCTCTTGTATTTGTAAACATTCAAGGGAGCTCAAATCCTAATTGTGGAAGGATCTGGAACATTCTGTTTAGTATACAGAAAGGGGCTCTGAAGTTACTTTGGTTGGCTTAGTTTACCTTTCAAGAGATGTTATGTTCAGTTGCTGTCCTGCTATGCCATGTCTGGAAAGATTCACTCTGCTTCAGAACTATCGTGAATCTATGGTAATGTGTGACTATTAGGTAAATTAAATTAGCTTTGTTATTCTCTAGTGTGTTCTGATTGTGTTAACTTTTTCTTAAATTGTATTTTGCTTCAATTGCTTTTTTGAAACCTTTTTTTGGGGGAGGGGGGTTCTGAAGCTTTTTCTCTTTTTATTTTTGATAAAATAAAAAAAAATACTTCCAACCAACTGTCTGGGTTTTTGGCTCAGAGGGTTTGTGATACTAAAAGTGGGTTTTGCTATGACCAACGATCAGAGGTTTTGGTTTTTTTTAATGGGTCTGATGGGCACTTTATCTTGTGAGATGGGCATATTGGTTCTTAGTGCCTAGCCATGTGGATATTTGGACTTCCTAGAAGCACTGCCAAGGTAGATTGTTGTGAGGCACCAGTGCCAGGCAGGTCCCGTTAGTCATCACTGCAACTCACTCTCCAAGGTTCACTCACTTCAGGGTAGGGACAGAGGGACCCCTTGAATCCAGTAACCTTCACAGACATAATACCAGTCACATAAGTACTCCCAGATGACAGATCTGATACTTTTAGGGAGAGTACACCCCACCTGGAATACCCACTTCAGGACACAACTATGTAGATAATGTGCTAGCGTCACTAAAGGGATATGTAGCACATTGGATGGCTCTGGGCTTGAGGAATGGGGAAAATTTCAGGCTTACATATTCAGGAGAAAGTTCTGCTCCAGGCCTCAGAAGCAGAACACTCTGATCCACACCCCTCAGGGCACAGAAGGAATTGTTGGATGCTGTAAGTAAAAGGCTGACATCGGAGGCTGGTAGGACCTGCTTGTCAGAAAACGTCAAGCCGACCTAGAATTAAATACAGAAGAGACTTCAGCTCTCTTTCCAGAGTTCATCTCAGGAGAATCCAATCATCATCATACAGTCCCTTCATAGAGCCGTTCTGTCTGTTGTGAAATAATTAATGTTACTTAACAATCCTTGTTTCTCCCCAGACCAGTTATCATGATGTGCATATCACATTACACAATATCATCATGGTTCAATATATCAGGGCATTTCCAGTGCAAATAAGAGGTATCTGAATATTTGACGGGCTGTCTCAGATCAATATGTGGACTTCAGTTTTATTCCGTTCTCTGTTTCCTGATCCATACCCCTCTCTTCTTGTATGTTTTTGTTCTATTCTCAATGCTTCCACCTTCTTCTTCGGCCTCTCCAACTTAGCCTCATTCTCTGAAGTTACTCCTTCCCCTTCCAACCTTAACTTTCTAGACCTCTCAACCGCCTTTCACTGGCTTTCTCAGTCGCCAAACACAGTTGTTCTCCACCCTCTTTTCCTTGGCCCTTACAATGTTTTATGATATAAAGGCGTCTCAGCCAACCATGGCCAGAGGCTCTCTCACCAAAATTAAGAACATAATAATCATAGAATGGCAGAGCTAGAAGGGATCTTATCGATCCTCTAGTCCAGCCTCTGTCAAGGAAGCACAGTGAGGAATCAAACTCCCAACATATTGTGATACACAGTAAAAGAAACACTTCCAAAAAAACATCTGACCATTTTCCAAAGGTCAGATCCAAGGGTAATCTCATTGCATGTCTTCTTGATCATTTATGACTTACTTTTTCAGTTTCCAAAACATCATTACTAGTGTTCTATTCATGCATCTCATGATTCGGAGCCAGCCTAAGCATATACTGTACATAGTTATAAACAGAAGCATACTAGGCTCAGGAACATTAAGCTCTCACCTTGTTTCTAAAGCATTTTTCAATTTGCAAAAAGATACTGTCAGCAATCAGATCACAATGTGGTTGCAAGGAATAAACTAACAACCTGGCTCTTGGGGCCAGCTTCTGATCAATGTTGAGTGTGATAGAGAAGTTGCTATATTTTCCATCTGAAGGGAAGAACAGGTTAAAAATAAGAGAAGAGTTAAGGGAAGAGAATGAAAGCGAGATTCAAGAGAATAAACCAAGAGAAGCTGATTAACTAGTATAATCATTGCCTAGGGCAGGCTTGTCCAACCTGCGGCCCAGGTCAGCTCGTAATGCGGCCCAGTGCAATTTTTTATTTTTAAAGACATTCCAAAGTTTCAAGTGACACTGCCAGTGCTTGCGACCGGAATGTGGCCGGGGCACGTCACAACGGTAGGGGGGGGGGGGGAGGGAGGGAAGGAGGGGGGGGGAGGGGAGGGGAGAGGGGGGCTGCCTGACTGCATTGCGCCGTCCCTGTCAATAGGTGAACCCCCTCCCGGCCCCATAAAGCCACCGCAGTAGAAGCTGGCAGCCTCTGCTGTTTGAGATCGCAGCTGCTGGTAAGCACACTTGGAGTGGGCTGCAGAGGAAGGCTAGGGCTGCCCCCCCATGCGACCCAAACCAAATTTATGTACGGCCCAAACCACATTTTCATCTTCTAATGTGGCCCAGGGAAGGTGAAAGGTTGGACACTCCTGGCCTAAGGCATAATGAACTGGGAGCTCACTTGGCATATACATGTACTGGATATCTGTGGGACACTGGTGGTTTTAATGCCCCTCCCTCATATGGTTCTTAATGCTTCTTTCCTTGCAGAATTCAGTATTGGGAAATATTGACTTTCACAACATCGGAAGAAAGTCATCAGAGGCAAGATGACATGAGGATTAATTTGGGCCCAAAACAAATAGAGATCTGCAGTAGAATTATTAGTCTTACTGAGGTTATATCATTCCTCAGATTTTCATTAAAAAGGAGCTTTCCGATTCACTGCGTAGTATTGCTCTAAGTACAAAATAAATATCCTCTCTAATTCTGACCCAAATTCTATGAACCATTCTACAAGACAGACCATCCTTCTGTGACTTAATTCTTGCTCAAAGATTTATAAATAACATGAACTTTGAAGATTTTTTTATAAAAAAATCATGCTAAAAATCACTGTAAAGGACTGGAGCAAGGTGTACTTGCTCCATTCTTTACAGCAGAAATGAGAGCACTTACATCTAGTCCTGACGAGTTGCGTGCCGCCTTGAACAATTTTACCTTTGGCCACCAGCTGAAAGCAAAAAGAAATGAAAAAGAAATGGGGAAAAATTAGACTACAAAAAAAGGAAAACCATTTTTATTTTACTTTATTGGCCATAACAAAATGCTTCGTACATCTAAAATCCCCATTTTGTGGGATTTCATGACTGTTCGTCATAATTAGGAGCCCATTTTTGACTCTTCTCCATGTGGAGAGTACATATTTCAGAATTCCCACAGGACTTGTCAAAAGGGGAAAGTCTTCCTTGTTATGTTCTTGGCACCTCGCCCTCCTTGTCTTCAAACCACATGCACTCTAGCCAGCACTGTTAGTGCAACTCAACCCTTAGGAATGAATGCATTAGTAAAACAAGTAAGTCTTAGTGCCAGATTACATCAATTTGTCCGGTTTCACTCTTTAGTTTAACAAGCACTGGCTGGCTTGTTAAACTACATTATTATTTTTTTAAAACAAAAGGTTTACAAGTTAGGAAATCAGTCTTGCCATTTTGTTCTTACAGCATGATAGAAGTACACGTCGTCGGTCTGTATATCCCTGTGTAGGTTTTTGCTTAGGATATAGTGGACAGTGATTGTTCTCTTCTTGCCACAGGGCAGCTCCTCCCATACTGGTTCTATTTTCACAAAGCTCTCACTCCGGGAGAAGAAGCGTTGGACATAATGAATGGCTTCTGGCTGGTAGGTTTCCAGCCAGCCATAGTCAGTGCACTGATCCGGTTGATAGAAAGCCTGACAAGAGAAGGTCGGAAAAGATTTTTTTTTTTTTTTGTAAGCAAAGTATCCAACATTAACTAAGAGAAAGATTTTCAGGTGTTTCCCAAAACTGCTGCTCAGTCATTTCCCCAGATGGTTCTACTGATGAGACTAAAATGCATGTCTTTGCAGAAAACAATAATAGGCAAGCACGTAGTTGAACTGCAGGCAAAAGGCTGTTTCTCTCTTGGTACAGCCCACCCATTCCACATTAGGTTTCAGCAACTTACTCTCAATTTATAGCGAGGTTGAAACATTTTGGATGTTTGGATGGAAAACTGAGCAATGCCGTTCTTGTCGGTGGTGTAGTTATTCACAATGTCTCCATCAAACTCTAAAAAGATAAGTCCACCTTCAAGTGGTTTGTCATCTTCATCTCTTAGTATGACCTGAGGAGGGGGAGAATAGTTAAAAATGTTCTGGGAAGGCATTCAGGGACATCCTTATCATCCGAGATTACTAGGAACTGTTGGTTCAATCGGAAGAAGAATACCTTTAAAAGGCCTGGGTCCAAGCTGTCTCAAAAACCATATCTCCCATTCTGAGCCAGCTTGGGTGTTAGGATCATCAGGAGAGTCCTTTCTCTTGGTCCCGCCACTGTCACAAGTGCATTTGGACGGGACACGGAAGAGGACCTTCTCTGTTGCTGTTCCCATACTTTGGAACCACCTCCCAGAGGAGGCTATGTTGGCCCTAAAGGCAGCCATTTAAGACCTATCTATTTCTATGGATGATTTCCCCATGCATTTCAAGTTTTTTGCTGGCATAGCTCTCCGTGGCTGGTCTGGACATTGTGCTGGAGAAGGGTAGGTTTTGCCTACCTGTCTTCTCCCAAACTCTATTCTCCCCATTTAAAGAAAAGCACCCTTCCCTCTTTTAAAATAAGAACAATAAGCAAAATAAATTGGTGATATTATGTATACCATGCGAGGTAGATGCATTACTGTTTCGCTGTGTCACTTGTACTTTATTTAACAACAACAAAAAAGGAAAAGTTGCCATAACCTGCTGAATGATGGCCATGGAAAAAGGCAGAGAACTGAGCGGGAAAGGGAGTACCATTGATCAAAAGGGGACAAATTGGAATGATCCAAAGACCTATCTGGACCCTTCTCATGGGGAAAGAAACATCAATCAGTGCGAACAGGAGGATCACTCAAGTGAGGGATAAAATGGATCGTACTAAAGATAAGAACATTTTAAGCGCAAACCAGACCACTCCAACTTCCCACATCTGGATGTGCCCTGAGACATCATCTGTATCTATGAAGACTTTATTCCGTACGGAGTGCACCCTGCTCTGTTCCCTACCTGTCCAGTGAGAGGAATCCCCCTTTTATAATATGAATCCATTTTGTCAAATCCTATGGTTTTCCTGGTTTCGTAGACAGAGATGTAGCGGGTGTGTGACATCTGGATCCCTGTGTGAGACATAAAACAGTCTATAAGCACTTATGTATACCCCCCCCCCCGCAAGCTTATACAAGGAGTACTGGGTTAGGTCATTGCTCAATGGAGTAACATTTGCAATGTTGTTTAGTTCTAATGGAGAAGTGTACAGCTCAGCAAAGGGATCTCTTAAAAAGGATCTGTGAAGAATCTGCTTCCATTTCCTACATCTAACAGCTTGACACCAACACCCCACCCTGCCCAAATTACCCTATCAATGGCCTTGTGCCTTTTAAATAGTCAATTTCTGTCATGCATAAATTTGTTACGGTTTTGCCAAAGTAAAAAAGGACATTGCATTTGTTTATTAACTTAGGTTAATAAGTTAGGTTTACCAGTACAATTCACCTTCCATTCAACCATTATATTTAAGGAAAGGAGTACTAGGATGTCACAGAGACTATTGTAAAGGTCATAGAAAAACAACATTGAGAGTAGTTTTTAAAAAGAACTTCCCCTTCCTGGTCAACGCTTATAAATAATACATTAAACACACTGATGTTTAAATTGTTATTTGTGCATTGAACAGGAGGATATGTCAATTAATATATCTGATATTTTAAAATAATATTGTGAAACTAATGTTGCTAAAAAATGTAGATCGGTGTTTCCCAAACTTTTTCAAGTCATGGCCCCCTTTTATAATAGCCAGGTACCCTGCAACTCCCCGCCATATTTGCATAAAGGCATTTTTAATGGAGTAAAGGTAAAGAAAACGCATTAAAAACAGATTTCTCAGAATACAACTCGTTAGTCTTTAAGGAGCCTCAATGTTTTTGTAACTTGTTGGTTTGGTTTTGTCCGATATGCCTGCACAGACTCACACAGCTACACCTTCGAAAACTACAACCAGTATTTTTCATGATCAGTAGGGTTAAAATTTCAAAGACTCCAGTCCAGTCCATGACATTGTGCTGCCTCACCGTAGCGATATCTCTTGGAAGGAACAGCTTTGTAGGTTTTTATTTTAACATAAACTTGAGCTTGGTCATCTATCTTTTCAATGTACAGACATTCTCTTGCTACACCAGGAAAAGTCTGGTGACTCCATCACCCTCTGCCTCCAACAGCGCTCAGCCAGCCACTCCTAGAAAGCTCAGCGTAACAAGCCACTGAGAAGCAAACACTAAGTATCTTTCAGTAGGAGCCTATGGTAACCACAGTGCGAAATACAACCACCACAGCACTCCTAACATGGAGCGACAATCGTAACATAACAACAATCCTCATGCCTGCCCATCTCCTTGTAGTCACAATAGGAAAGACCTTCAAGCAAACGCCTAACCCCACCAGGTAGCTCCTCACCTCACCGGTAGTGGAGTGGGGTTCAGTCCCTGCTGCATACAAGAAGCCACGACACAATTCCACCTGGATGCCTCATGTGAGGCTTTGCCCGACTGTCACCACCCCCTCCTTCCCTGGTGGGTGGCAGTGGCCACCATTTTCACTTGCTGCTTTGCTGGTGTTGCTCCCATGAAGGAAGGAACTGGCCCTGAGAGAGAGCCTTTACTGCCGCTGATTAATGACCGGGACCTTTCTACCATCAAGGTCTAAAATAACCACAATGACCCACCAGAAAAAGTACTTTGCAAACCACTTGTGGTCATGACATACATATTGGGAACCTGTGCTTCAGATGCATCTGTTGGCTTATTCTCCTGTTCAACATGAAAATAACCATATTAACGTTATTTCAGTCTTATTAATCAGTGTTAATGCATGTTAAATCTAATGCATTATTTTCTAACCCTGTTCCTGCTACAGAATTTCCCGAGGCAGCACATTTACCTGTTCCATTCTCTGTGACAATGGCTTCTGCATGAAGTGACACGAAGAAAAAGCGATTCCTATCCAGATTTGTATAAAGGTGGAATGCTTTCGTACGGATTGTTTTGGAAACACAGCCCTCTTTGCCCAACTGCAAAGAGAAGGAAAACAACAGTAAGTATGCTGAATTCGATAAGGCTCAGATCATCTTGTTAGCATTTTCTAGCAGAGTCAATAAAAAGTACAAAGCCTAACAACCTTATTACAATGTTGTTGTTTTATGTACTAAAACCTTCTCACAGGATGCGTTTTCTAAGGTGTGCATGTGCATCAGTGCAAGATGGCCATTTACACAACATCAAAAGAGAAGAGGACATTATTTTGCAAATAAACTGAATATACAGATTTGTCTGCAGAGATGAAACATACGGTAGAATTACAATGACAGATGTGCGACTTGGAATTTTTGGACTACAAATCCCATAATTCTCCATTCTGGGTGTTCCACCTGATACCTACAGACATTTACACCTAAACTTAGAAAGGCCTAAACTTACAGTAGTAGTTTTGTGGCCTAGCTCATCCTAGCTAGGCCCAAACTCCCTATTAATAAAGGAAGTTTCCAGCCAATGCCAGGACAGTTTCCAACCAGAACAGGACACAGCCAACAACTGTTGTAGGTGTCTGTTTCTCTCAAAATGGAGAATTATGGGATTTGTAGCCCCAAAGTTCCAAATGGCACATTCCTAATTTCAGAGTATCTCATTTGAATCAAAAGACAGTGACCAAGTGACTTGTTTGCCTTCAGAGTCGGCTGTCCAGATGCTTCCAATGAATAGCCAATTTCAAGGTCTTTCTGTATGGATCCTGATTTTTAAATCAGATCCTGGATTGGACAAACTTTCAGAAAGAGGGCCATCTTGTGGCAGTCTTTCAAACAGAGGACTGTCTGCTTCCCGTAAAAGACACACACTGCCACCCTCATGTATGTGTTTGTGCAGAGAGAAAAAGAAAGAGAGAAAGCAAGAAGTTAGGAGTGAAAGGTAGAATGTTTGTAGACAAGATTTAAAACTCATGTCAGTTTGGGGTTTTTGCCCCCAAACACTCTATAGTTGCCTGAATTATCAAAATTACTGGAAAGAATACAAGAATTATACCTCTGTATGAATAACCTCACAAATCCCATTGGAATCTCGGTCACATCTTGGATGATAATACCGATTTCTGCACACTCGGAGTTGGACTTTCCCTCGGACAGGTTTACCATAAGTATACCTAACAGGAAAGAAATATACCATGTAATTTAAGTGAGATATAGAAAGTGTCAGAATCTATTTCAACTTTCATCCTAGCCACCATCCTGGCGACTGGCTTCACAGTAATCTGGATTTGAGATGGATTCACAGAGAACTCTAGTGAGCAGAATTGATTCTTTCCACTTCAGAAATAATGGGTTATGCTGTTCTACATTTTTAAAATCCAGATGTTAAAAAGGGGGCACCATGTGTACTTTCCATAGCTTCAGAACTTACCGAGCACAGATATTTACTTCAAATTCTTCATCAAAAGGTGAGACTCTCTGTGGTGCTTCCATAGTCACCTCAAATTTAGGGGGCACTGGAAATACAACAAGAAATACAATAAGAAAGTCTACTTTGGTCAAATAATGGACTAGATTTTTAATACGGTCCCTCTGGGAGAAATGCTGGCACAGTGATAAAGAGGAAGTGGTGGGATGGAAAAAAGGAAGGATAACTCATTTGCTGAAGCTTAAATTTGTGGAGGTTAAAAATGTAAACAACTTAAACGTGTACCCTGATGAAATAAACCAGAAAGGAAAATACCAGATATTTGGGACAGTACTGAATCATAACAGCGTGGTGGCAGCAGTAAGAGGACTGGCAGAGCCAGAGGGAAACACCAGGAGCCCATCTTGTGTTGCTTCAATTATGCATTACATTAATGTGTCATGAAAAGAATCAGGGTCATACTGATGTTGATAAACTCAGCCTATTTATTATAACTTCTGAAAGTATTCTGCATGGACAGAACCAGGAAAGGGTGCGGGGGGAGAAATGCGAAATTCCTCATCTCTTAGAGGTGAGAGAGCCTCGTGCTCTAACACCCAGATGCTTGCATTAGTTAAGGACTATCTTGATCTGTTGTTTATCTCTAACATCTGTTACTGGTCTGTTATTTACAAAAAAATGTCTCTAGTGCCCTTTCCTTTTGAAAAGCAAATCACAGAGACACTGGCTGATTGTTAAGATGCAGGGCACGTAATAATGGGCTCAAGCTAATGGAATCCAGATAGGGGCTGAATATCAGAAAAAAACCTTCTTAACTGCATTGAGTAGGAAGTTGGACTCAATGGCCTTATAGGCCCCTTCCAACTTTCATGATTCTATGATTCTATGCCAACAACCCATCTAATGCTTCAGACTCTTGAACAAAATAGAAATCATCCTGACAACTGAATGAACAGCATGATTTTGCACAAAAATGGCCAATTTAGGGCAAAAAACTCAGTTCTTTACTCTAAAGGGAAACTGGTTGGGGGGGGGAAGGTTTATTTTATCTATACATTCTTCGGTTTCTCATATGCAAAGATCTATCAGACTTTATGTGCTCTGGTCGTGAGAAGTCAAAGTCATACTCACCATATTCTTCCACACTAAACCACTGACTGGTGCTGTAATTTGGCTTATCGTCATCATGAACTGTAATCTGGTAGGATCCCAAATGTGTGTCTTGGAAGATCTGGAGCTCGAGTTGGAGGATGCCATGCGAAGGGGCTTGGTTTAGCCACTGAGCAATTCTGTTGCCTTGAGGGTCCTGGAGAGTGGGAGAACACAGGCTGTGACATTTTCTGTTTTCTTCCTTCTTTGAGACCTGATGTCATGTGGTTGGTTGGCTTAGTGAAGTCGAGCATACAAACTCATCTTAGACCATGGCTGACATATAGCCTGCCTTAATTATTCAGGTGAGTAATCATAGTAGCGAAATTATTTATGTCTGGGGATACCTGGGAGGGAGTGATCTTTCTCTCTCTTGTGCTGTTTTGCAGATCTCCGTTGTAATAATAACTGTGTCCCATCGAATCAAGTCTGGCATATGGCAACCTTTTTCAGGGATTTCTAGGTAGGCAGTACTCAAATGTGATTTACCATTTCCCTTCTTCCAGGGGCACCCTGGGATTGTGCAGCTTGCCCAAGGTCACACAGGCTGGCTCTTCTTCCAGGAAGCACAGTGGGGAACTGAACTCCCAACCTCTGGCTCCACAGCTAATTATCTAACTCACAGAGTTATCTACTGCTAGTTCTCCATCACCATTGCTCGAACTGAGTGATAAATTGTGCTTACTCTAGTTTTTGTGCCTTGTCTCTTCATTCTAAAAGTACGCAGCGATCTCTTCCTAGTTCTTATCCCACCCATTCCTGTGTTTTTGTTAGTCTTTGTAACTGTTGTTTGACTGGCATTTTTGTGCTAGTTTTGTTTCCACCACCATCACACCAGTTTGAGCCCTTACTATTTGGATTACATTTCTTTTTTTCGTTCTGTTTTTTTTTTGGTTGTGTGTGAATGAGCTAGGTACACATACATGGTAATTCTTAATGCATAAGCAGCACTTTATCGGAGCATAGAAAAGCAGCACACAATTTTAAAGGTAGCATAAAACAAGGTAATTTACCTTTCTGTGATGTTGCAAGCAGCTACCTTGTTTCAAAATTATACATACTTGTGTGGAGTAAAACAAAGCAAAACAAAACATGAAAAAGGCTGTTTTTTCAGGGCAAACCTAATGAGAAGAATGAGGTTTTGTATTCCCAACTGATCCAAAGTCCAGCTTGAATCACTACATCAAGTCATGCTCCAAATCTGGCTGTGTGAGCATCTGTGTATATATCCTGTACAAGCTTTATGGAGAACTACTTATTGAGGTTAGTTTTTTGAGGGATTTCTCTAAATTTGTTCTAGTTGGGGAGATTGCGCTGGCACCACATGAAAACACTGGTTCCCTAGTTGAAACGAAAAGGAACGTCTGGTGATTAGGTTGCCTCAGGGTTGGAATTCTGTTTTTTAATTGCTAGAAATGTTGTTTCCATGTTATGTTTCTTGTTAAGCATTAATGCCCATGAGCCAGTAATAGTGAAGGTATGCTTCTGTACTCAGAACGCACTGGACCTGAGAAATCAGAGATATTGTACATCCAGTCTGTATGCATTTCAGTTATTCACATTTTAGAATGCATACAGTGTTCTGTGTTTACTCTAACTAAACACCTTCTCAGTCTTGCGAGCACATAAATTTCTCAGGCATTCTTCTTTTAATGGGTCACAGGAGACTACTTTCACAGACGCAGTCAAATCCAACAAAACTCTTTGTTATCAGCACTAAGTAAAAGCCAGAATGGAATGAAACAGGCTGGAACAGGTACTTCTGAATAAAAACTGAGTAGAAAAACAGTGGGATGTGTTGGATAAATATCCAAACAATATTTTAGACTTCAAACCCAATGAATATTACTCTTTCATTAACGCTTTATTGCTCAAAACCAAGCTGGGACAGAACAAAATGGTGTGGAACGGCAACTTCCAAGTAGGATAACCTAACCAAATTCACAGCACTCTTGTGACAGGGTGAAATGAACGCAGCAAGCCACAAATCATCTGCAAGAACAACATTCCGGTATGCGTTGTGGGCAGAAAATTGATATTGCAAGAGGGGGGAAGACTGCTGAATAGGACAGCCCAACCAAACTCACCAGAGCCATCCAACTAGAGGGGACTGAAGGAACTAGCTATAAAATTCCTCCTGAAGAACATTCCAGTACCTGTTCCAGGCAGAAAATTGATATTGCAAAAAACAGTCTAGAACAGACAACCCAGCTAAATTCACCTGCCCCATCCAGCTAAAGAGGACTGATCCAACTAGTCCCAAAACATCCTCAGGAAGAACATTCTGGTAGTCGGAAGTTGCCATTTCAGGCCCTTGTGTTTCATTCTGGCGGGTTTGGGGGTCAAGAAAAGGTTATTCAAAGAGTAATATTCTTTGGGTTTGAGGTCAAAAGTATTGTTTGGATGTTTGTCCAGCACATCGCCCTGTTTCTGGCATCAACTTTTATTAAGAAGTCCTTGATCCAGCCTGTTCCGTTCTGCTTTTTACCTCATCTCTTCTTCCTGTCTACTGGACAATGCCTTTAAATTAGGAGTCTTAGGAACCCTTGATCTAGAAGCATCTAAGGACAAAAATATAAGCACTGGAATTTAAGCAGAAGACCAGCATTGGAGTTCAGAAGACAGACCCTCACCCCCAGTCCTTCAAAATCATTGTGCAGTTTCTCTTACCTGGACATAGATCAATGGATACTATGAAACAAACAAATAAACAAAAAAAAGAGAACAAAACATAAGTATTAGATTTGAGGGACAACACCAGAACACACAGTTTTTTTAAAAAAAATGTAATACTCTGAAAAATCCATTGCTCCAATTACACTCACCACTTTATTCACTGGCTTGAAATTTGAGTCCAAAGTAACAACTCGAAACATCACTGAAGAGAAAAGAATGAACATAAACATGCCTTGTTTTATTTCTTTTTCTTATGATACATTTAACATCCCACTTCTCCAGAGATTTCACTAACAGCAATATTCGCTGAAAGTGTCTGTTGCAGCCAGAAAGGGTATTTGACAAAATGCCAGATGACAGGAGGCATGGTGGCTGCAGCATCAGGAAGACCACATAGTCTCCATCCCTAGCTTTAAGAATCTTTGGGAGACCGATTCTGGCTCAGGATGAACTGAGAGGGAATCCTGGAGCACTTGCTTGCCTGGAACCTAAGTCAGCATTCTGAGGCCTCAGGGCTCAGAACATTCTGCTGCCAATGTTCTGAGAAAAGTTGAGGGCTACAGTGCCCAGGTACAGCTTCTGCCTGCTATAAATCCATTAAAAATATACAGTAGAACCCCTGTACCCATGGGCTTGCTTCCTACATTTTCAGTTACCCATGGTTTACCACATCCTTATATACAACGCACAAACGAGTGGGCCTTGTGGTCTTTTTTCCACCCTCTTGTGGCCTTTCTAGCACCTCTTTATATATAGTAGGCTTGGCTACGGTCTGTGGTGTCAGGCATTCATGGTAGATGGTGGAATGGAGCCTCTGCAGATCTGGGAGTCCTACTCTAGTTCTATGCTCACCTCATGAAGCTGTGTTGCTAGATGTGTCCCTAGTATTTAGAAAGAGGGAAAAACTGAGCCCATTTTTACTGTCAGAGCCTCTGCATACAGTTGTTGTTATGTGCTATCAAGTCGCTCCTCAACTTATAGCGACCTCATGAATGAACAGTCTCCAAAATGTCCTTTCCTCAACGTCCTTGCTCTTGCAAACTCAAGCCTGTGATTTCCTTTCGGGAGTCAATCCGTCTCAAATTTGGTCTCCCTCTTTTCCTCTTGACTTCCACCTTTCCCAGCATACAATTTATTTTTTCACGGGAGGTAACAATTGCAGCAGGATACATGATGATACTTTATAAAAACCAGAGGTTTTTAAGAAAAGGAATACCTCATGGTTTCTATCCACAGCTTTTACTAAAACCTAGGATTGGATTTCTTCAAACCCAGAATCTGCTTATTAGCAAAACATTGGTGGGATCTGTTTGGGTTTTGGTTTGTAAAGAGACAGATTTCATGAACCATGTAGGATGCTCGGCTTCTACCATTTCCCCTCGCTATTTGCTCTGAGGGGTGGTCCATCTCGGGAATATATTCTTCACTTACTTGTCTGCCCAGGTTTGTAGATGGGCTTATCTGTCTGTATAAAGAGAGCGGTGCTTATGTTCCGGATAGCCACCGATCTTCTTTCATAGATATCGACAGAGGAGCCCTTCGCAGAGAGAATGATGAATGCTAATGCATTAGAAGCAGCTGGAGGAACCTGTGTACAAGGAATTTTTCAAGAAATGAAGTAAGAAAAACTGCATATTTCTCTTTACATCCTAGAAAGGAACAAAAAGAGACCCCCCCCTGCTTCAGATTAACAGGACTGTTTATGTGTTATGTATCCAGCAGGGAAATATCCATGATTTTAATTGAAATTGTCATCACCATGCGCTGTCAAGTCAATTTTGACTTCGGGGCGACCCTTTCTAGGGTTTTCCAGGTAGAGAATACTCAGAAGTGGTTTACAGTTCCCTTCTCCTGGGGGTGCTCTGGGACTGTGTAGCTCAGTGGTCCCCAACCTTGGGCCTCCAGATGTTCTTGGACTTCAACTCCCAGAAATCCTGGCCAGCAGAGGTGCTGGTGAAGGCTTCTGGGAGTTGTAGTCCAAGAACATCTGGGGGCCCAAGGTTGGGGACCACTGGTGTAGCTTGCCCAAGGGCTGGCTCTACTCTACTCCTGTGATACATCATCATCATCATTTTAGAAGTGCGGAGCTGGAAGAGATCTTGTGGATCATCATATCCAGCTCCTTTCAAGGAGGCCCTGTGGGGAATCAAACTCGCAGCCTCTGGCTCTACAGCCAGATACCTAAACCACTGAGCTATCTAGCCAGCTTAATTGAAACCATATATGGTTCATAAACTTGCGGTTTTGGCATTCCTGTAGAACTTTGGACACAGACAAGCCATTTTCACATTTCCATTTCCAAAATAGGGAAGAAAAGAAATTGACAGGAAGAAGGAAGTATTAACAAGGATACACTCCCTTTGGTGTACTAGCTTTAACATTTGCCTTGAGTTCAGTCTATCAGCCTTAGCAATACAAACCTGGGATCAAACCAAGATATTTGATTGCATCCACAGTACTGGTGTTTTTACCAATTATATCAGGAACATACATGCTTTTATTTATTTATTTTTACATGCCACTTTTCTCTCCACAGGGACGGAATTCACATCTAATAATTGATCACGTCTAATAATTGGCAAATGATACAGGAATCGCCCAGGGACTGAGGGATGATCAGATTTGTATTTTTTTTTGCTGTCTACATGATGCACATACAAGTCAATGCAAATCAGTCGCCACGTCCATTTTTTTTTCTTTCCTTTCACTATTAAGGCATTTACTTTTTTAGAAAATGCATTGGCATCGGCCCAGATGGTGTGATTGCTTGTGCCAATCCATACAGTTTGATTGTTCTAAGGAGGGGCTGTAGCCATTTTGTTTCAGGCCATTCTACTTGGCTGCAGCAGCAGTGAGACAGGGCAGTGGGCCCATTCAGATGAGAACTGGCTGCCATTTGAGTCCTATCCTCCCCAAAGCTGGTGTCTGTGTTTGATTGTTTTCTTCTTCTCATTCTGTTCTGCTCACTTCCTTTTCTTTCTTTTTTAAAGGCTTGGTGTCAATGCACTAAGGCATCTGGGAGACCGGGGGGGGGGGAAACAGTGAGGAATCAGCAGACAGTGAGGAGCAAACTGGCAGCCAGCCTTTCTTTGCAGCTTGTTAAGGTAGCTCTGTTGTAGTTGTGCCTCCTACAAATCTAGATAGCCATAGCAGAGCTAACTGAACAAGCTGCAAACAAGGAGGACTGCCAATTTCCCCCTCTCCCTCTGCTGATTCCTGCGTGGATGGCTAAACTGAATTCATCCAGAAACCCAACTCTGCAGGTGCAACTTCACAGTGGATGCATTTGTATTTTTCTGCTGTGTAGTTACACCCTAGGAGTCTTTTCTAACTCTGAATTTTATTATTAGTTTACCTCCCCATGTTCATTTCACTAGAGGCTGAGTCAAGTTTGGGAAATGTTTTGATTCAGTTCCTCATGTCCTCCAGTAAGGAGATATGTGTTGATAGTGGGAAATGGCACTGGACAGTAGAAAGGGAGCGGCACATTAGCAGCGAAGCTGGTGATGAATAAATTAAATAAACTCAAATAGAATACAATCAGGTCCATGCTATAAATGAGTCTTCCTCTATTTTAACAGGGTGCTTCCCTTCTTCCTCTTCAGAGAAATGTATAGAAGAATAAAGATTCTGTACCGTGAAACTGAAGCATTGTGAAAAGTGGCTTGGTGTCACACTTCCCTTCCAAAGCGGATAACTTTCTGTGTTGTACTCCAGAGTTACATTCAGAAAGATTCCCTCATTAAGGTGGAGAAGGTGGACACAGGCCTCGTTTGAAACACTGCTTTGGACGACTGAAGGCACTATCAGGACATATTGCCTATAATAAGAGAAGAACAAAAAAATCACTGTTGAAACAAGTTGGACATTTATATCAATTTTTTTCAAAACGTAATTACACGTAAAATGTTTCTAACATTTTGTCCCCAGTGAAGACTAGGGAGTACTATGAATTGTAGAAGTTTTTCTAAGAGCACAAGCTAATGACTCTACAAATCAAACAGAAAAGGCGAAAGAGGACATATCAGTCCAGTGCCCCTATCAAAACGAAATGGACCAGAAAAAAAATACCATTGATAAACATTCTAGATTTTAGAGATGAGTAAAGTGTTCAAATCCATCTCTGAAAACCTGGAGAGAAACCTAACGTACAAAATATAAATTTTCTTTTTTTTCCCCTTTCTCTCTCTCTCTCTCTCTCTTTTTTTTGGTCAAAAGCTTTTTCAACACTCAGTGGAAAAAACAGCTGATCAGGTCTCTGACTATTCAAAGAATTCAAATCAACAACCAGTCTCAATTTATCTGAACCTTGTGTTGGAGTTTTATCTGAAACTTTGTATGCTGTCTGCAGTTTGTGTGACTGGGAGGAATTTTCCTAGGCTGAGGTGATTGTCTATCCAGCACCAACCAATTCTTTATTCTAGTCTTTGACTTCAAAGAAAGCCCTGCCTTGATGCTGAGTTTTCTTTCCCTCTCTTTCATCTGTTAGTGGCAGTTGTTTGTTTGCTGCTGATCTGCTTGTTGGTGGCTACGTATGTAAGCAGTAAAGACACAAGACTAATTTTCAAGCAATTGTAAGTAAATATTTTTTTAATTCTTTCTACTACCAATATATCAGAGTGAGTTCCTGAGACTTTCAAGTATAATTTATAAGAATGGGGTTGTTTAATCTGCAGGATTTGTAGCTATTCTCTGTGTTTCTTTCATACTGAGTACCAAAAAGGAGAATTTACCTGGAATTCAAAACTCTGCAACATCTTGCCTTCCTTGAATAAATCTTACCTGAACTGGATGTACCAATGTGGTAATGACTTTCTCTAGTCTGTTAGCAAGGATGCTGGTCAGAATGTTAGCATCAACATTCAATAAAGACATAAGTCTAAATGTATTCTCGAAGGCTTTCATGGCTGGGATCTGATGGTTGTTGTGGGTTTTTCAGGCTCTTTGGCCGTGTTCTGAAGGTTGTTCTTCCTGATGTTTTGCCAATCTCTGTGACCAGCATCTTCAGAACGTGGACAGACCCCAGTCCTCTCAAGATTCCGGCCAGAGAGACGGGCGAAACGCCAGGAAGAACAACCTTCAGAACACGGCCAAAGAGCCCAAAAAACCCACAACAACGTAAGTCTAAAGTTTGCATACTGAGTATGGTCTTTACAAGGCTCAGAAATCATAGTAATATAAGAATCATATAATGAGGCTGGTTGAGATATCAAATATCTCATTAAACCTAATATAATTCTGGGATTAAAAAAAAATTAAAAAATGCTTTATACTATTCAATAAGAAACCCATGAAGATTTACCAGTATTCATATACCTGATCACCAGTTTAATTTCATATATTGACAAAGGTAAGGCAAGACAATGTTTCTCTAAAGTTTCATCTGCATCTTCTTCTTGACAGTGCGGTCATGTTCCTTTTTTTTTTTTTTTTGCCCCAGTTGCATTAATTCAGAAGCTCTCAATGGAACAACCAAGCTGTATTTCTATGCAATAATATGTGGTTCTGACATATAGTGCTCCTCTACCTCCCTTTCTGTTCTTTCTATTCTTTTTGAACAATTTATATCCTTCAATTCCTGTATTCTAGTCATGGGAACCATCCCATCAAGTTTCAGTTATCTCTATGAAGTATATTTACCCTCCTGAACTAGGATTTCCAGTTCTTCTTGTTTGTTTCCTATACTCCTGGCATTCCTGTATAGACACCGGAGATTGTGTGATTTGTGGCCTGCTTTATTTCCTACACTTTTTTGAAGACTAATTTTGGGCCCAATTCTTTTTGCACATAAACCTTCTTCTGTCTTTACCTCCCAGCTTGTGTCTTCTTCCCCCTTCCAATTCAGTTTAAAGCCCTCCTGATGAACGAATTCATGCTGAGGCCAAACATATTTTGCCCAACTCTTGTGAGGTGCAAACCCTCACTTGCTAGTAGTCCATCTTCCTGAAAGCTTAGCCTGTGGTCCCAAAATCCAAACCCCTCACATCGGCACCACCTTTGTAGCCAGTCATACACCCAAAGCATCTTCCTTTCCCTTTCTGTTCCTCTTTTGAATACTGGTAAAATGGATGAGAAGACTATCTAATTTCTAAAGTCCTTGAGTTTCCTTCCAGAGCTTCAAAGTCTGACTTCATAGTTCCTCTTGGCTGTGTCATTTCTTCCCATTTAATAACTTGGATCCCCTTATTCTCTCCAAAATTGCAATGTTTCTTGAAAAGGTAAATATTCTTTTCATTTTATTAATGCAAATTCTATAAAGTCTCCCCATATACAATATTCTTATATAACAACCATTTTAACTTTAATATCACATATACTGTTACGTTCTTAAGAGCCTTCTGATGACCCTCTATCAGTATTTTACGAATTGCACTGATTATTCCATTCATTGCTATTATCCAATCCTTTCTTCAAATTTCACCAGCTCTCTGTATTTACCACTTCTTTTCACCCACTCTCTGGTCCATAAATCTAACTGAATTAAATTAAACCAGTTTATTCTTTTTCCTTTTAAAACTACCTTTGTTTGTCCTCTACTAGTCATCTTCTCTAACCAATCTTTGAAACTGCTGATTTGCTTCTTCTTTAATACCTTCTTCAAATTCTCTTTCAAATTTGCTGGAAATTCCTCTAACTACTACCGGATATGTAGGAGAAATTCTTGGAATAAATATTTTTCTAAAATTATTCCAAATCTGTTACATATTTCTAAGAAAGGAATTTCCTGTCCTTTTCACTTCTTATTGTTTAATAAAAATATTATCTCATTTGATTAGCTATATAATATAATTTTATATTATGAAGTCTCCAGATTTTGGGGGCTTATACCACAATTTTACCTTATTCTAACTACCCCCCACCGCCTAGCCTCACTAATATTTTTACTTAATCTATAACAGTTCCCACCAACTTCTTAAATATAGATAGGTGTAATTTAAAGACTGAAATGCAGATACATAAAAACTAATGCCTAACTATTTTCCCATTTCACCCTTCCTTCCCAATTTAACATATTAACTGTCCCCCCTGGCCTCACCAATATCTAACTATACTAAAGCAACTTATTTTACCAGTTTTATTCTTTTATATGTATATTACTACCTAATCCACTGGCGCCCCCAAAACTCACTAATATTATTTCATACCCTTATCATTTCTTAAACAACATTGAAATTTATTATGTTAAATCTACTTTATCATAATTTCATAACCTTATCTACCATAATATGCTTTCCACAAAAAGCTTATTTTACCCCAAATAAATCTTTTTCTTTTTTCATTACCTACCACCACCTAATCCCTGTAGTTTTATCAATTCTTGAGATTTACTTTAAAAAACCTGTTACAATACAGCTACTTTACTCTTATCTAAGTCAGTTTATCTGTTCTTCCCCTTTCTTTTCTTCTTCATTTCTTCTTTTTGTTGACCACTTGATTGCTTGAAGTTCCCCCAGCTGGACTGAGGCTTACATCCTCTGGTAGTGACCCCCACCCATGCACCTTCTGTTTCACCTTCTTGCAAATGACTACTGGGATCCTGATCCTTCTCTGTCTTCCCAATTTCTTGACTCCATTGTTCATCATCAATAAGACCCATTTCACATAGTCAATCCAATCTAGAAAAGTCAGTCTATGGTATCTCCCCCTTCACAAATCTCTCATAAAAACTGGTTATCCCCAGTTATATTGAATTTCCCTCTTCACCAATGTGACAGCAATGGGTTTCATGGAACATCTCTATTTCAAGGTCTCAGTGCAAAGGTCTGGAAATATTTGAATCAACCTTTATACTTCAGTGGATCAGGAGTTATTTCTTATCAAGGGCAAAAAACTCTTTAAAAATGTTCAAATATGATGGCAACATCTCTTGGGATGACTCTAGATCCTCTTTTAGTGTCCACTTGATGAATTTTATCTGTATCTCCCCTTGACCAGTTCAAGTCTAAATTGTTCATTTTAATCAATTCCAAAATATCCTCTGTTAAATCCTTTCCCGCCATATCTGCTTGTTTCTGGGATCCCACAAACTTTCAAGTTCTCTCTCTCTCTCTCTCTCTCTCTCTCTCTGTGTGTGTGTGTGTGTGTGTGTGTGTCCTGCAAATCAAAATTATTTATTTCTGGACCTCTGAAAATCTTCCCCCATGCCAATACAGCCTTGCAGCATCCAATTTTACCAGCTTCTCCATTTCTTGAACTTTCTCATTCAGTTTTTTTTTCCAGATTTGTTTCTCAACTCCTGCAATCCCATTGTTCGTATCATCCTTAAGCCTCTGTATACTTGATCACAGCACTGCCTTGAACTCCTTCAGCTCCTCTGCAATTTTCTCCTTCATGACTTGAGTCTCTTTAAGTTTCTCTTGCACAATTTTTATTTGCCAAGCTGCTCGGAGAGAGATCACTAGATGTCTCTCTCCACCAATTTATTTCTTCCTGTTAGGTCTTACCCTTAGGCATACAGTAACAACATCAGCTTGTTCTTCTACCACCAACAAAAAAAATCTTAATATTTAATAACATCTGCAATATTCCATGAGGCCACTAGAGAGAGTCCACCCAAACTCAAACCTTTGTCTTGAAACAGTTTTTACTAAGAAGGCACTGCTTCTTCCAGATTGAGATTTCAAAGTTTGATTTCTAGGATTCTCCTATCTAAGCTCGATCTCTATTACAGTGGGGTCTTGACTTGAGAACTTAATCCGTATTGGAAGGCGGTTCTCAAGTCAAAAGGTTCTCAGGTCAAATCTGCATGAAACAGTTTTTACTAAGAAGGCACTGCTTCTTCCAGATTGAGATTTCAAAGTTTGATTTCTAGGATTCTCC